GCATCGGTGGTTCAGTGGTAGAATGCTCGCCTGCCACGCGGGCGGCCCGGGTTCGATTCCCGGCCGATGCAATTATTTTTGCTTTTCATCTGAAAAACGAATCAAAGTGTGTATGCCAATTTCGTGCTTTTAATCCGAGTAAGAAAAGCCCCTGTCACCTATATACACCGTTGGCACGATGTATTTTAATTTTCCATATAACCCCGTGGGATTCATATTACCCGTAACGCTAATACATTGGGTTCTAGAAGTATTTTATTATTATATATTATTGAACTTTAATTTCTCAAAGTTCCACTTTGTCTCATTGTGGGAACGACTCATTATCAGAACTCTTCTTAATCCTATAATTCCTGTAATATTGGAGTTATTTAAGATATTTTTCCAGATTGGATTTCAATACAATGGCTCGTGACTTTAAATAACAATTTTCCCAGAACGCATTTTACCAGAACAGAACAGATCAGAAAATCTTCCAGTTCCACGAATCAAGACTTGTTCAGTTTCACTTAAAATCTCAGATGCAATACGGGGACATATTTTGTGCTTACGAACCATGGACAACATTACTTGTAGCAACAAGTAAAAACAAAAATGAATAAAAATAACATGTCTTAACAATTTAGGATAAGAATCATTCAATTTACTTCGCGCTGAATTCAATTTGTTGGGGAACATTTTCTAAAATCAACTAAGGAGTCTCGAGTCTTGGCTAATGTATTTGCTGTTTTCCAGAATGCACATTAATTAAGGTTCTATATATCACCAAATATGTTATGAACTTCATCATTTAAATTTTGGTTTATAAAATATTGTATATATAATCTTTTGCAAGACTTACAGAACTAAATTTAAAGCGTTTAATAAATCTTAGAGCATATACATATGCATCGGTGGTTCAGTGGTAGAATGCTCGCCACGTGGGCGGCCCGGGTTCGATTCCCGGCCGATGCAAGGAGTTTTTACTGTTTTTCATATACTACTTATTTACAGTTACTTTTAGTATTTATTATTATTATTATTAATCTAAGCTCCTTTTGTAGCCTTATAAGTTATATCGCGCATTCAGATATTAAATGTAGCCATAAATAGTCATAACGTAAACTGTTAAACGTTCATTTCGTTGATGACGTAGATAACGTTGCTATTATTACATTATATGAGCATCGGTGGTTCAGTGGTAGAATGCTCGCCTGCCACGCGGGCGGCCCGGGTTCGATTCCCGGCCGATGCACATTTTTGTTGTTGCAGAATTCGAAGCGTATATTTTTTTTTCGTTTCGAAAAATGGCGAATGTACGGGCAAATTTAAGGGTTAATATCATTTCGTTTACTGTCAACAAATTAGAATAAATCCTTGCTACATTTTTTTTATATTTCCTTAAAAAAACAGGTATTTTTAATGAACCTAAAGACAATGCCATAACCATTGGCTTAATTATTATGCACGTTTTATCAAAAGCATATTATAAACGTTTATTATTACATTATATGAGCATCGGTGGTTCAGTGGTAGAATGCTCGCCTGCCACGCGGGCGGCCCGGGTTCGATTCCCGGCCGATGCACATTTTTGTTGTTGCAGAATTCGAAGCGTATATTTTTTTTTCGTTTCGAAAAATGGCGAATGTACGGGCAAATTTAAGGGTTAATATCATTTCGTTTACTGTCAACAAATTAGAATAAATCCTTGCTACATTTTTTTTATATTTCCTTAAAAAAACAGGTATTTTTAGTGAACCTAAAGACAATGCCATAACCATTGGCTTAATTATTATGCACGTTTTATCAAAAGCATATTATAAACGTACGTTTAGATATTGTTCATTATAAATCTTTATTTTTTTTGCGTTGTTTTTTTAAAGTAAAATTTAAATTTTAAAGACATCTTTTCTCTTTTGTTGCAGCAAATAACTCCAAGATGTAACAACAATGGTTATTTTAATATTGTGCATCTGAATACTGGAGTTTTCAACACAGGTTGGAAAACTTCAAATTAAAAAAAAAGAAAGATTTAAAAAAGACGCTGGTCCGCGTTTCAAAACATTTTATGCAAATAAGCTCTTGAGGTCAAATGTCATTATGTAATTTGCATCCGAAATCATTTTAGAATGGTTTTATTATATAACAAATTACCCATGGAAAGCGCCCGGTGGCCTACATTGAATTTAAGGCTATTTTATTACGATGGTTTAGCGATGGAGTATGGCTGAACACTACCTTTGGTCCTTTTGAAAAATTAAGAAGTAATAGTGAAATAGCGCAAATGGGACATTGCTATTATACAAAAGTAGTGCCTCAATGCATTCATTAAGGCAAAGCACTCAAAAGTGCAACGTTGAATGCGTATTAATCTTTTAACGAAAATTGTAATTCTTTTGAAAGTCGACGAGCGTCATTTTGCGGCGAATAAATTAATTTCACTCTTTAGAGAGATACCGTTAATTTTTAAACAACCTAAATGCATTATGCATAGAAACACGATCTTTCAAAAAACCCGAAGAACATGCAAATATAAAAGATAATGCATTAAGATGGGTGATGATTAAATCAGAGGTTGAAATCTGAAAAAAAAGAGTCTGAAGCGTCCGCAAATGATGCCAGCGATAAAAATAGGTGTATATGATTTGGGAGAAGGTAATGATTTATTTTAGGTTGTTGAATACTTTTTATTCATATTATGTTCACTAGAGGTGAAACAAAGAACAATTAAGGTGATGCCACTGGCGGTGATGGTGGTGGTTTTGTTTGTGGTAGGTAATAATGGTATAATGGTGTTTGTGATGATGATGAAGAAGAAGAAGAAGAAGAACATGATGATGATGATGGTTACGGTGATGATGATAATGACGACGACGATGACGCGACGATGATGGTGATGATGATGATGACGACGACGTTGTTGCTGTTGTTGCTGCTGCTGTTGATGATGACGATGACGACGATGATGATGATAATGATGATGATGATTATAATGATGATGATGATGATCTTGTTGATGATACTTATATTGATATTATATTGATTATATTGATAGTAATGATAAAAATGCCGCTGTAAGCCGTAGTGGTGGTAATAACAATAAATTGATAATACATAATAAAAGATTTATTTTGTGAATGCCTTTTTTTATTGTGAACACATTTTAATATAAAAATCATACTAGGATCTTTTTAATTAAGCGGCCTTCAGTGAACACAACATTCACAACAACAACAACAACAACAACAACAACAACAACACCAGCATCATAGAATGATCTATCAACTATATATTATTATCATTACTAAAAAATATAAATACAGCTTTTGCATTTTTTTGACAGACACACACTCATAAATTATGAAATGATTTAACTGTGCGATGAAAAAAGTCAAACATTATATCCTTTAATTAATAATTGCCGCAGAATCATTTGCATCATAAATATTTACTAGTCAGTGTGCATCGTCTGCCGCGTGAACTATTAAAAAAGCTGACACGACGTTATATTGTGATCACGCGCGCGTGTCTGTGACTTACCAGCAAGGATTCTGGCGTCAGAAATGTCATTCCACGTGCGCGTAATACAAAATGTCAGATATATCATTTCACATGCAATTTGCCAAATGTTTCACTATCAAAATTATCATATGGAAGGCAATGAAAGGCAAACGTGATTGATTGATTACATAATACCAGTACCGGGGTATCAGTTTGTGAATTCTCTTTCTTTAATTATTTTTTTACTATTAAAATAATTTAGGTTTACTGTTATTGTTGTAATGGATGTTTCTTTTTGAGGTTAAAGGTCATAATAATATGTTCAGGTGTACATGTCGTCTGTGCAGATTTACTAGTGGAGGAACAACTCGGTTACTTCTCCTTTTCTTTATTTCACGTACATACGGACACTTCAGTATAGATGTCGAGCGGTCTCTTGTAATATATAACTAAATTTTGTGTGTTGGCAATCATTTGTACGTCAGCAAATTATGACATGCTGTTAAGTTATAAAACACTTACTAAGTGTTTTGATAATCAGAAAATGATTTATAAGCTTTTTTATCTTTTCAATTTATGTACCGACAGACTGTGTTTTAACATTTTAATATTTTAAATAAGGATATTATCAAATGACAGACGTAATGCATGTTCGGCATGAGATTTTTGTAATACTCATTTTGAATTCTAAAAGTTCTGCATGATATTTTTTCGATTCTCATTTTCTATATAATTAGCGTTTTGACCTTTTTGCCTCATTCATTGATAAAACGGCCTTCCATAGGTTTAACGAAATGCGGGTCTTCATGCACACAAGATTGTTATCTTAATTAAATTTTCTTGAACGGGAGAATGTTTGTAATTTTTCTAGTCAAGTGCATTTTTTTAATTTGAAAAGCAGATATTGTAATTTGAATTTAATTTTTATTAATAAAGATTTTTTTTCTTTCTTTTCTTCGCTCTTTTACGGTTTCAATAATGACGGCAAATAAACAGTTTCAGTCGAGCCTTTTGTCCCGTATAATTTATGAAATATGATGTTTCTTCAAAAACTATTATTCGAATTTGTCTTTTCTGTTATGTTAAATATTTGTAGGTTTAAGGGGCTTCTGTTTAAGAATTAAATTTTACAAACTCCATTGATCCGTGTTTACACTTGCTATTTTATTTTCAATTACCGCGTTATCTCCGCCAAATCATTACTTTGTACACCTAAATAATAATAATAATGGCCATTCGTCTTCTGTACGTTCTATTTAAGGATCACTTTTAATGTTTAAATTATCTAATCAAGTCAAATTTGTTTGAGATCGAATTCGCGCAATAAGAAGTATTTCCTATTTATCATTGCTCCTAATCGACATGTTTTCCCTTTTAAAGCGCATGGTTTTAGGTATCACGTTTTCAATAACGCAAACGTTTTAGCGTCTTAACAAAGATAAGGGGCGCATCTCTGAAGATGGCGCTGTCAGGTGGTTTCTGGTCGTCTGCAAAGTAGTTGGTCGTCTGCAATGACTTCGCGGATGGGACGAAAATTGATGATAAACCAGCAGGGGAGGGGCTTAAGACGGCAAGGTTTTAGATAATACCACACTATAAATACTTAAAATGCAAGGCACACTTTTATTATTTACATTTAAATTTTGTTAAATTGCTTTGGAAACGAGGCTGTCAACAGACACTGCACGCGACAGGCACGCGACTGACGTAATTCTTTAGGTTTATATTTGCAAACACAGACTTGCAGACGATATTTGGCATCGTCTTTAAGGAAACAAAGTCCTTTAACTTTTCAGTCTTTAATGGATCTTTCGTCTGCTCACTTCACTAATGAACATAAAATGAAAGAGGAATATCATTTTCAGCCTGAATTGCAGAATATGCCATCTTGCATGTTTGACCAAGCCTCTCAAATGGGGGTCATCACATCGAGTGGTCAGAGCACAAGGTCAAAACTGTTTCGATTCCATGTGGCTAAAGAGAACGCAGCAATCGGTGGTTGCCGAAGACGGCTTGACTTTAACCAAAGTTGTCCGACAAATATTTATGGTTTAAAACCCGGACAACAAATAACAGTTGCGCGGCGAAATGAACGCGAAAGAAATCGTGTTAAACTGATAAACATGACCTTTGCGACATTACGGGAACATTTACCGTTTGAACCGGAAAATACAAAAAATAAAAAAATGAGTAAAGTGGATACACTGAAAGCCGCCATTGATTACATCAAATACCTCCAGGAGCTTGTTGATAATCACGATGCAGTAAACGCTGTACTAAATGAAGCCTGTTCTATAGACGCTATGCAATTTGACTTGAGAACTTGTCCAACAAATTCACCTGAAAAATCACCAACGGGAACTGTTATGACGTCAGAAGTGACGTTCGATGGATTAAGTGCTGAAGATGAAGAATTACTCGACTTTGCAAATTGGTTTTGAAACAATAGAAAAGGTAGAGTAGTGATGTTATTTTTCTTCTGAATTCTTTTTTGAGAAGGATTTTATAATCGACAATTTTTGTATGGAAGTGCAATTTAATAATGAACAAGTTAATTAATGTTCGAAGCTGTAAGAGTATGAACCTGTCCGAATATAGTTAGATGAGAAAAATAATTAAAGAAACATAAAAAAAAAAACAAAAACAAAAAACAGACAAAATCAAAATGGACTTGTATCATGGACTCCTCATTTTAAACTTAGACAGTGAGTCACAGTTTATGAAATCATTTAAATAAATACTTACTTACACATGTTAAAAATCAACATCCTGTACCAGCAATGTACATTATAACCTACATGTATATTCAAATTGTCATTTTTTAATATTTTTTTTTTACTTAAGGAAAATTTCAATAGCTAACAGTGTCTTAAAGATACTGTATGTTGTAATTAATGTTGTTACCACACTTAAGTGAAATTTTATTTATGTATAAAATAATTTTCAAACATTGAAGAATATGTAAAATATATGTACTGCAAATATTTGACCACATTATATGTAATCATTAAAATATATGGATGCATTTATTTCTTATTGAAAAATGTGGTTTAGACTTAAGAGAAAATAAATTTCTAACTATCTCCCTTTATTAACATGAAATGTTAAATTCGTTAATATCTTTACAAATAATGCTTTTTTGGAACTTACAATATTGATAAATCTTCATTTGAGCATTATATTTATGATATAAAACCATAAAAAATGAGTTACAGGATTTTTAATACTGTGTATTATTTGATTTTTTAGGAAGTCATTTAGTATGATCAGAAATCGTTTGTGACAAGATAAACAATAATCGATCATACGGATCAATAAAATTCGATCCTTATCTTTTTTCAGGCTTAGTGTATCATTTTTTCTTTCTGTAGATAAGAAGATTTGAATACTCGTTTCTCCACTCCTATCCGTTCATAACTAAAGCATTCATAATTATGAACTTGGTTGAAGACTGTATTTTGATTGGCAATACAAACGTTTTATCGATAACGCTGCACCAAGTCAATTTCAAGCAATATTATAAAGTTGCATCGGAAATGCATATGCTAAGTCCACATCTGAGATTGATTATCAATTTTTAATGACACCACAGTGCAAGTTGATGTGAGATAAATTAGCGTACATTATTATGCAGAAATGACTACGTTATTATAATGAGATACGTGTTTCCTGGGAAATAACTGCTCACGTGTATGTAAATTTTAAACTGATTATTGATTGGTTAAGATATAGACATGCGCACAAGTTAACTAATATCATGCCGGTGCGCTTGTTGATTAAGTTGGCTGTTCGAACTACGTAAAATTCATCAGCCAAGCATATCCATCAAGTTGGTTGGACTTTTTATTTTAGATCATTGATCACCGCACTGGCGGTTGTAGTGTTGGTAGTTTTCATTCCTGATCAAAGCAGTAAGCCACATTGAATTTACCAGACCACAGTTCAACCACCGCGTCGTTCCCGCGCAGGCTATCAAGCACTTTACCAGTACTAATTGCCTTCACTTTCACAAGGAACTGATAACTTCTGTACATGCCAGAGCAGAGGTACAGTGCGAATGACCGTAGAAAGGATATTTATGATCAATCACAACGAAAGTCTGGGAATCGAACCCGGATCGCCCGACACACAGTTCAATGCTCTATCTATTGAGCTAACCGGACGGTGCCTTGATCACCGCACTGTTTGAACCGTGTATTTTATACCTATACCAGTTAAGCCTCAGCCTACTGGCGGCAACAGTTTTAACCCATGTGACACGTGCAGACCAAGTTTAGGCGACACATAAGTGCCATCTGATCATGGTCTGAACTATTTGCTTTTCAATCGGTACATATTTTGATTTTCTACCCTAAATTATTTATGGTTATGTCTAAATTGAAAGATGGGCAGGGAGACACAGGCAAAATGTTCATTTCTACGTTTTAATTTTTCCATTCATTATTCTGTAAATGTCCTCAGAATACACTAGGCAGTCACAGGAACAAAACTTTTTTTCCTTATAAAGAATAAAATTGGGGTTTCCTAACTTGACCCGCGTGAGTCAGGTTAGAGAGTTAAAACTTCACAATGGTTGTCTCAGTGAACTCTGGAAATGTTAAATATGTATGTCAATGAATACCTAAGACTTGTTTCAATCATACAATATCCACAGTGTCTGTTATTGTAACTTCCAGGGTTTGTTTAAGTCACATGACTTGTTTTAAAACTACTCGGTGATTCTGTCGGCGTATTAATTTCGTTCAACATAAATATATAGAATTAATACAGAAATTTAAGCTGGGACTTTTATTTTAATTATTTTTGTCATTAATTTGCCTGAGTATCCCTTTAAGACATTAAGCGCGATAAGATTTCGTTAGTCGACTGACCTTGACATGTTGGATTTCAGATCCAAAATATCCGTGCACTTTTATAATATTGGGCCAGTATTGTATGTTGGGAACACATTGATGCATATTTATATTAAGAATTCGCTTCCCAGTAAATGAGATGGTTTCAACGCTTAAAAATGGAGTTTTATTCTAAACATAATGTGATGCCACCACTTATTTATCCTTATTTACATTGGTACACACGACAACATCTTGTTCAACTAAATAGCTTTATTTATTATACAGTTAATGGAAATTCTACTCAAAGGGAAGAGATATTCTCATATACAAAAAGTTTATATATAACAGGCAAAATCTCCGGTCGCTTAAGTGTTTGGACAAAGCTGACTGTATACCATACTTAATCATATGTCCCTGGTCTTGATTGGGAAACAAAGTTATGATTCAATAAATTGAAAGTTTAATAGAATACTTGAACGTAAATGACTATTGCCATGATGGGCTATTTTCATTCATTCATTTTGGATACTATGTCTACTTGAAATTTTTACTTGATTCATACAGCGCAAGAATTCATTACTGGGCACTTGATGAAGTAATGAAGTCACGTGATTGGGATGGTAAGACTCGGCGCCTTAGTCGAGATACAGTTACAATCCAACCACAGGCGTACTTATGTGGTGTTTGCACACCAGTGCTTCTTAAGTTTTTAATCCCTTTATTGTATGTTCAAGTGTAACCCGACCTCATACTATTTCCCATTGAGAGCTACTTTATGTAATCGCGTAGATATACTGTTATCTAACCTATTTACAAACGCTGATATTACTACGCCGAGAAGAGGGATATGCGGAATTAATCGCAGATTATCGCTCATAACAAAGTCATGGTATCTGTTTTAGCACTTGTTGACGCGAGCAGACAATCAAAATTATCAATAACGCTCACGTATGTCACAGTTTGAACCTAAAGTTATACATTGATGACCCTTATTTGTCATTTGTAGATACTTTTCTTTTCAAAATTCAACCCATTAAACGATATTTCGTGTTGTAGTTGATGATAACGAGATAAAAAGGTCTAACCGCCAATTAGACGTATGAATTCACTAAACACTCTTCACTGAGTCGTTATCGGCTCGTTATGAAAATGTTTACGAAATAAAAATATTCATTATCTCAATTTAATATTGATCGGAAATCATATCTTGTTAAGCGCTTGATTCTAACAACATTTTCCAATGTTGCAATTGAAATGTATTTGTCTTTGAAATGGACCGGTCTCTGAAATGGATATAATCGTCACTATAATTTTTTTAAGGATTTTAAGATTTAAATAAAAAGGCTTATATATAATTTGTCTCTCAGAAACAAAATTTCTTGGAATAAATTTCAGTTTATACATGTTTTGTATTTTTATACCTGAATGGTAGAAATATTTTTCAAATCCTTGATTTCTTTTAGTGGTAATTATATTTTTTGAATACAATTTCAAAGGCTAGAATATGAATGATAAAAAATGGTAAAAAACACTTTCCCGTCAAATGATGTATTATTTTCCATATAATGATACATAAAATACAATTCAGATTAGTTTAGGTTCCACATTAAAATCAATTTGTAATCCATCAAAACATGAACGTAATAAAATCAAAATTAACTAAGATTTTGATGGTGACTTAAAAAAATAGTAGCCAGTGTATAATTATATGTTCTATCATTTTGATACATTATGTCATATAATATTTCAAAATTTTACTTTTTTATTATTTCAGCAGGTGAAACTATATTCAGTGCGATGATAAGAGCAAAACCCACCTGTCTTACCTGAAAAAAAAAACTGACATGAAATTCATCTAGTCAAATGCTAGAACACGGGTTTCTGTTTTTAAAGAAGAAGAAACAAAGTAGACACGAAAAAGGAAAAAATCAACCGCCTTGCCGAATTATACGTTGACCACGCCTTATCTACCGAAGAACACGCCCATTCGTTACGTCACCATTACAGGTGATACGTTTCTAAACGTCTAAGCTCATCGACATTTAAGTGTGGATATTTGAGATATGTTTATGAGGAACTGTGTAAAGTTGCAATGTTGATATTATTTCACATTAAAAAAAAGTAATATCCTGAAGCTTGTGGTATGTAAGCAATGCAATATGCATACGATTATCTTGCTAAATACGCACACATACATTCTTGAACTTTGATAAATGTGCTTTTAATACAAAAGTCAAGTTACCCGATATTTCCGGGTCCGCCAAGACAAAAAGGCACCAAAAAAGAGCGATAGTTGCTCAAGGACGTTCAGTCTCAACATATACCTTTTATAAAATCTTCATTGTCACAGTAAGAATAAAACAATGTATGATTATACACTTGTGGGATACAGCTGTTCTATCTTGTTGTTATGACGTCATCATCATCAGGAAATAAAAAAGTTTCCAAATTAATTTCACAAATGCACAAGGCTTATCGCACCAGACAAATTAATCAAGATGACAATTTTGAACGTGCACATATAAAAATAATAAGCCTAAAAAATAAATAAATAAATAAATAAATAAATAAATAAATAAATAAATAAATAAATAAAAGAAAATAAACAAAAAACAACAACAACAAAAAACAACAACAAAAAACAACAATAACATAGTGAGGGTATAGTTTATTTATTTGTATATTTTATAGCTATACCTGAAATGCTGTATTTAAGACAAATGATATGGCAACTACATTGGCAAGTTTCGACATTGTTTTGTAATAAGGAAAAAAAAGATATTGAATAAAATTATGACGTTCATTATTCATTGATTTTGTTGATTTATTACAATCATCGTTTGCAGTGCAGTCTTTTGGTGGTCAGGTGTTGGAAGTTTTCACAGGAAGTCACATTGAATTTACCAGAGCACAATTCCGCACGTCCACAAAGAACTGATAACTTCTGTACATGCAGGAGCAGAGGTACAGTGCGAATGACCGTAGTAAGGATTTCATAATTTACCACAACGAAAGTGATCTGCGCCGTCGGGAATCGAACTTGGGTCGCCCGATTCACAGTCCAACGCTACATCTATTGAGCTAACCGGACGTCTAGTATTCTTTCTTTCTTCTTCTTTTTCCGTTTTAATACATCAGAAAAGGAGAGATGTGGTTCTGGTATTAAATAAGCAGTTATAATAACATTTCGTTTGGTAGCATAGCCTGTATAAACATTTTTTTCTGTGATAGGAAGCCTGCAACTTAAATATTCTACATGATTAAGGAATCACTTTACGGTTTTATCGTGTCACTAATGCAACAATGCTTTCGATATCAGAGAATATCACTCGTTCATATGTATTTTACTAAATAGTTTTGTCTATCAAATTGTGCAGGCAGTCTGAAGTAATACGATTAAAAATACACCGAAAATGTAAATAAAAGCCAAATGTGACAATGCGAACTTTCTAAGAGATACTTCCCTTCTATGCATAAGAACTATTTCCTACTGATAATAACAGATGTCTCTCGATGTGTCTTGATCTAAAATTCTCTGTAACCAAAGAAACGCTTGCATACTCATCACTTCACTGACAGGAAAATGTCGTCTGCATTTGTTGGGAAATAAATTCTTAAGTTGTGCGCGTTAGATGCTCCCATTGTTTATGATTTAACAACAACTTTAGAATGTATTCACATATTGTTAAGATAAATTTCTTCAATTAAAATGTTTCTTTTAACTGATTATGATAAAGGGACATTTTAGCTTAAGTGCAAATTATATTCATATTTCAAACTACCATTATAATAAAACTCTATGTTTTTCGCATTTGATAAATTATTTTAACTGAATGCTTCGTTGCAAAACCAGATCTTGCATATCTTAAAGTGTTTTTATGCCTTAAATTTTAGCGTGGTGTGTTTTTGTTTGAAGTTTAAAATTTTGATTTAAAACTGACGCCTGGCTCGACTAAAATAAAACCATTAAGTTACATAAAGTAATATAAGTTGACGTGTCGCGTGCCGTGTTGATAAATTGCTCGTAAAACCATTCATCTAGGACAGGTGCGTTTATATCTTCAATCAGATAACGTACACATAAGTAAATCTCGCGAGAACTTTATCACAAGTGCGCATGCGCCACTTATGGTAAAACTCGCATTTTTCTTTTTTTTCAATTTTTTTAACTGTTTTGGGTAATATATTATAATGTTCACACAAGCCAATCAGAAAGGCATATACATAATAGGAAAGCCACCTGCTGCATAGCATTAAAAAGGAGGCGGTTTGATTGAAACCCCCAAATTCTCCTTCGGAATTATATTCATGTAAATCATCAAGCAACCCACCTTGTTTACTTTTGTATGGCTTTTAGCAATTTTACTCGTTTATGTAATGTAATTCATCTTTAATAGTGAATTGATATATATAACTATTTGCATGCGAGTAGAAATAGTACAAAACCTGTTTTGTAGCTTCACAAACATTTACATTTAAAATTATTGAATAAAAAAAAATACACACGACTATTTTTGGAACACAGCTAGATCTAATTTGTGTATTGGGGTAAGTGCAAAATGTTAAAGGCCCATTAAGCCTCAAATATTCAAATACTTATGTTACTGAAAGAAAGCTTTTATTTTTGGTGTCCTGTTAAAATTTTCTCAAAAAAAGGAAAGATATCAACTGGCTCTGTGCCCCTGAGCCATCTTTTACTTCTTTCAAGTTCTTGCAAATAGAAAAGTTACAGTGATTTAGTATAATGTATGGAAGTCAAAGTGCCCCACTTTTCGTACATTTTGATACCATTATCACAAAAATTTTTACAACCAGCATTATTGTCTTCAGGTGATATAGTCTTAATCCATTATACAACATTATATGAGCCGCGTCAAGACAAAACCAACGTAATGCGTTTGCGACCAGCATGGATCCAGACCAGCCTGCGCACCGCGCAGTCTGATCAGGATCCATGCTGTTCGCTTACAAACCCTATAGCAAGTACAGAAACTGATAGCGAACAGCATGGATCCTGATCAGACTGCGCGGATGCGCAGGCTTGTCTGGATCCATGCTGGTCGCAAACGCATTATGTTGGTTTTGTCGTAACGCGGCTCATATATAAAACACATGAACATATTACTTAAAGGCCACAGAAATGCTTTTATTTTATTTCTCAAAAGCTTTTTAATTTTGGTGTTCTTTTATAGTATACAAAAAAGAACCCATTGGCCAATTACTTCAACAATGTTTTTCATATGTTGCTTTTTGGAAATAGGTACAGTCATAGTGAATAAGTTGTTTGTATATGGAAGTCCAAATACTACTTTGTTTAAAAAATATTTGTTTCTGAGGCATAATGTGCCTTTAAAGAAACTTAATAAAGAAAATTAATGTGCCCCCAAATTTGTCATTATACGTTCACAAATGTCTTTTGAGTTTTAAACGTATTTTAAATGATTCGCAGTGAAAATGAAAGGCGATCAACCATGTTGTCTCTGTAAATAATATGAGCCGCGTCACGTTAAAACCAACATAATGCGTTTGCGACCAGCATGGATCCTCGCGTCAGGTTAAAACCAACATAATGCGTTTGCGACCAGCATGGATCCAGACCAGCCTGCGCATCCGCGCAGTCTGATCAGGATCCATGCTTTTCGCTTACAAACCCAATTACAAGTAGAGAAACTGATAGCGAACAGCATGGATCCTGATCAGACTGCAGGCTGGTCTGGATCCATGCTGGTCGCAAACGCATTACGTTGGTTTTGTCGTGACGCGGCTCATATGTAACTGGAAAACCTAGATCATAATAGAATTTATACATTAAACATGTTTTCACGTCAATAAGGCAGATAATTATTTTTAAAGTTTTAATTAAAATAATTTTGAAACTTTTGAAGTTTTAAAAAGCTAGAAAAAAATGTTAGTATTATGCTGTGAAATCACAATTTTGAAAAGCGTAAAGCATTCTGTATAACATAATTAAATAATATAATTAAATATCAAAGAAAATTCAACAGCCACTGTCCGGAAACAACTTCTGAAAAAAAGTTATCATCATGAATAAAGAACTGCTGTCGCCTTATCATTTAATGTTGACAAAAGGAACAAACCTGTAATTTTTTCCCGAAAATTTAACCTTACAGTGATGTACTAAGAGCACATGTATTTCAAAGTCATGAGATTCACTAGTTGATGAAAATTGTATATACAATTGTAACGTTAATCTTCATCTTTAGGAAGCACTATGATACTTACAATAGTTCACAGCCGGTACATTAGTGGTATGTACACACAAATATAAATTCATGTATATTAATGTAATAATCTTGATAGACAATAACCATATTTTATATTGTTAAAGAACCTAGTCATATCACGTAACAAAATGCATCTAGCACATTTGATGTCGTTTGACTATTATTTCTTAAAAGACCTGGCAGCATGCACAACGTTTTACCAAATCATTTGCTAAAAGAGGACATAATTCTGATAAAGGGAAGCCCGAAGAAAGCCACTTTTAGTAAAACTTGAATTTCAATAGCCAGTGGGATTTGTAATATCCATACAGAACCTGTAGCAAAAACTCTTGCTTTTTTGGGTTGTGAAATAATATACCAGCAAATACACCAACCCACACATTCGATTTCTCGAGGGATATTAACAATAAGTTCTTGCTTACAACCGCAACCATAACTTTTGCAAGTAAAAATAGTACAATTCTGATAAAGTAAAACACTGTGCAAGTTTGCCTCTTGAACTTCTATACAACATTTTGCTCTATATATTCTGAGATACTGCACAGATAAAACGTTTCGTGAAGCAGACGACAAGAAGTGAACAACCGACGGAGCGCAAGCAGACGACGTTGATGTGAAAAGACGATTAAAACTGTCGCAAGTTCAGATATAAAATATCAACACGCTATAGAAAAGTAAATTACCTTAGTCTAATTAAACGAGACAATTTTTCAATCAGTAAAGAAAACACTTTTTCATTGTAGTCACAGAAGAGAACGCAAATCACGTGCATTTTA